ACATATCTTTGAAACCTCCTTTCTCTCACACACGAGTTAATGATCACTATTTGTCTCTTTCTGCACATAACCCTTCTGATCCTGATAAATACAGAGCAAGGACCCTTACTCGGGGCTCTTGTCTCCTCCCAGACATTAGCCTCTCTCACATTTAATTCTGCATTCACTCTCTTGCTGGACAGAGAGAGAACTCCAGACCCAGAGTCTGCAACAACCGAACACCACACAGAACAGTGCACATAGGTTGCAAGCTGTCTAGGGGTTCCTTGGAGAAGGCCATAGTGCACTGGTTCCAACAAAAAATAGAGCCCCTGAGATGAATCCTATATGGCTCAATCAAGATTACAAGCAAGACAAGCCCAACTCCTCCTTGGACACACATAAGAAAGACATAAAATCTTCTATCTGATAATCAATTATGTGTTCAAATCCAATGAAGACACCTGCTACTATGCCCGCTAGGATCTTACTCTGTCACACAGGCAGAAGGACCTGTAAGAAAACCTTCTTTATCACTAACCCTCAACTCCTTTCTCACTTGAGCAGCCACAGCAGACACCTCCCTGCTCTTAATCACAGGTTTCTAAGCTGTTGGAACAGGAAGGTCCCTTTGGACAACATGGCCCAATGCCCACACAACAAATGGGCATATGGGAGCCCAGAGATGGCAGATACCTTGTCCGAAGCTAGTTAACCACAGAGGTGGGGCTACACCTGCATATCTAAAGATCACAGAACAGCTTCTAAGAGGCTTCTTCTTTCAACATCTCAGACAACTGAGTTTGTCTTCAAACTTTAGTGTTAATAAGAAATCCATTTTTCCATGGGAGATAGAATTCTACACATTTCTTCTTTTATTCCAGGAGAATATTGTCATCATAGAAATTATTTTCTCATTGTGCATTGCATGGTAAAGATTTGTGTTACCAAATGGTCAACGTGGCTGCTAAAAAATGGAGACCATTGTTCACATTACTCAAGTATATGTCTGTTGGCATGTTTGCATTTTCAGTTACCGAAGTGAATACTCTTTCAGAAGTACAATCCAAAATTGCTAAAGGAGCAGACCTGGTGTTTGTGAGAACAGAAGGGCTTTTCCTTTGATGTGGTGTCTGAGCGGTTTCACACACTTGAACACCTGGAAATCAAAGTGTCTTAATTCTCTGAACACTTTTCCTGGTAATTTATAAAAGTCCTTGGTAGACCACTGGTCCCTATCTCTTCTTTTTTTTCTTTCCTTTTTTCTTTCTCTTTTCTTTCTTTCCTTCACTTATTTCTTTCTTTCCTTTACTTCTTTCCTTTACTTCTTTCCTTCACTTCTTCCTTCCTTCCTCCCTTCCTGTCTTTCTTTCTTTCTTTCTTTCTTTCTTTCTTTCTTTCTTTCTTTTTCTTTCTTTCTTTCTTCTTTCCCTCCTCTTTCTTTCTTTCTTTCTTTCTTTCTTTCTTTCTTTTTTTCTTTCTTATCATTTCCATTTCTTATCAGCACTTTTTCGTGTCTACTGGCCCCCCCCCCCCCGCACAGATATTTGGGTCAATTAATCTGAGGAAAAATAAAATACCAGATGCCATGAAGCCTATATCCAAGGACTTCCAAGGGAACCCGGAAGATCAAATCTCCAGAACAAGGTTTCTACCTGCTGGTCATGCCATGAGGCTCAGAAGAAGGCTGACATCTTTTTAGAAGCTCTAACCAGTGTGATAACCTCTAACCAGGCTGGATCAAGATATCTGCAGAAGGAGTTAGGCTCATAGTAACTCCTCCTGGTAAGTAACTCTGTTCTATTTGGATCCTGTGAATGAAAAACTGACAGATTTTTTTTTTAGAAAAAAACAATGTAGGATCACATCAACATATGGACAGCAATTTTGTAGCTACTGGTCACTCTATATGGAAACAAAACTACTTGTAGACAGCTTATTTTCCTCCCTGCTTATAAGAAGGTTGAAATTGGGGCGCCTGGGTGGCGCAGTCGGTTAAGCGTCCGACTTCAGCCAGGTCACGATCTCGCGGTCCGGGAGTTCGAGCCCCGCGTCAGGCTCTGGGCTGATGGCTCAGAGCCTGGAGCCTGTTTCCGATTCTGTGTCTCCCTCTCTCTCTGCCCCTCCCCTGTTCATGCTCTGTCTCTCTCTGTTCCAAAAATAAATAAACGTTGAAAAAAAAATTAAAAAAAAAAAAAAGGTTGAAATTCTACCTTTAGGAAACACACCTCATAAAAGGATAGTTTCAGTATTGAAATTAAAATATGTGTGTAAAACATTGCCGTACATTGTTAGTTCAAGAAGATTTTCTTGTAGACCCCGTTTAAAGTGAGAAACACTTTAAGTGCCTCCGATGCTCCGTTCTTAATGAAGAGTGCTCCTTTCTCTACCAACCTGCAAAGCCTGTATGATGACTTCTGGTCTCATCTTCAAGAGCAGTACAATGAAATTTAGGTCTTACAGGAAATGACCAAAGAACATCAATAAATCCCACTTACTCTTTTTTTTTTTTTTTGTCCCACTTATTCTTTATTCCAGCTTCTTAGAGGGTAGGCTGAGACTAGTCAAAATTTGTCCTCTCATGGCTCCTGTGATATTGCCTAGAGATGGACCCGTGGAATGGAACTTGTAAGCTCAGTAAACCATTTCAGCTCCGGAATCCAGGAAAAGAATCTGTCTGCATGGTTTTACAATCTCGTGTGTTCATTTATTGTCTCAACAGACATTTATTGAAGACAGTTTCTACATTCGATGCTAGAGATAGAAGGTGTGTAAGGCACAGTCTCCACACTCCAAAAAGCTTGTAGTCTAGTGGACAAGTAGTCTACATTGTGGCTTGTCAGGCCCCTTGTTTTTCAGCCCGTGGCCGTCAGAGACACAATGTCTTAGGTTCATGAGCTCTTTTGCTTTCTTAATTTATGTACTACTTATTGCTTATCAAATTCATACATTTTGTTTAGTGGAACATTGGATAAAGGGGCCCCAAACCATCCCATTACAGAGAATAATAATATTAGCAAATATTTATTGAGGGCCAGATACCACGTTGAATAGTTTCAGTGCCTTATCTCAATCCTCAACAGCCCTGCCCAGAAGACCTTCTTTTTCCACTTTCACAAGAAAAACAAAAACAAAAACAAAAACAAAAAACCTGAGGCTTAGGGGTGCCTGGCTGGCTCAGTCGGCTAAGCACCTGACTTCAGCTCAAGTCATGATCTTGGGGTCCTTGGGTTCAAGCCCTGCATCAGGCTCTAAGCTGACAGCTCAGAGCCTGGAGCCTGCTTTGGATTCTGTCTCACTCTCTCTCTGACCCTCTCCCACTCATGCTCTGTCTCTCTCCTTCAAGAATAAATATACATTAAAAAAAGGAACCTGAGGCTCAGAGAAGTTCAGTTATTTGCTTAAAGTCACATGACGAGTTACTGTGGCAAAGTCTGAGACCCAATGGAGACTTAACCGTTCCAAAGAGTCTGGTGTAGACCATTAAGTAATAGTGGAAAGATTAAGCCATATTTTAAATTCTAAATATTTACTCCTCTGAGCCTAACCTTTTCAATCAACTCTTTAGTTGAATGCTTAATAGTAAAGGCTTATTTGTATTACTGCTCATGCAGAAAACAATGCTTCTTAAAAAACAATGCACTAAAATAGTCCTTCTCCCCCCAAAAAGATATGTCAGACTTGTTGAATATGCATTTATTGAATTCTCACAGTGTGATTCTTAGAGTGTTTCTGTAAAATGACAAGTTCTTTGGGACACCTGGGTGGCTCAGTTGGTTAAGCGACTGACTGTTGGTTTCCGCTTAGGTCGTGATTTCCGCATTCCTGAGATGGAGCCCCTTACGGCAGGGAGCTTGCCTGGGATTCTCTCTCTCTGTCTCTTTCTGCCCCTCCCCTGCCCCCACTGGCACACATGCTCTCTCTCTCTCTCTCTCTCTCTCTCTCTCTCTCACTCTCTTCCTCTCTCAAAATAAACTTAAAAAAAAAACCCGACAAATTCTTTTGACACCATTGCATTCAGTCTTCTTTTTCTGCATCGGCATCAAGTGCACCGGAAACACTGACTCTGCCAGACGAGCTGGAGCAGGTGACCTACACGCAGGACTCGGCCGCATGACCCACAGCTGCCTTTTCACTCAGGCCGGGGCAGTGGCAGCAAGACCAGACCAGACAGGATCCCCTGATGAGCAGCTCAAGATTTTACATCAGTGCTCTGGAAACGGTATATATATAGATATAGATATCTATCTATATCTATATCTATATCTATATCTATATACCTAGATATACAATATATATAAATATATACTTATGTTATATATATAGGTATATATATAGGTATATATATATTCAATATATATAATATAGGTATATCAACATATATATCAATATATATTGATTATATACATATAATCAAGTCTAAAGAGGGGTCTCAGCATAATAGGTTAAGAGATCATCATTAAGATTTCAGACTCTGGGACAACTCATCTGGTCTACCATCAGTGGGAATGGGATTCTGGAAAGAACTTACTTTACAGTCAAACCAGGTACCCACCCCGAGTACATAGAAACAACAACAACAAATATCTGTAAAAATATTAACTTTTATTTATTAAATATTCAAATATGCTATTTCTATTTTTGTTCCTCTTTGAACATTATAGAAATAGTATCTGTAAATTACACTCCAGGAGAAGAACTGGTCTGATACATGAAAACCTCTTAAGAAAAGAGGTTTAGAGGATTCAGCAAAATACTGAGGAAAGGTAAAACCATACTCTCCAACCCGGGTGAGGGAGGTGGAAAGACAGAACCCAGCTGCCCAGGCAGAAAGGGGTCAGTTCATCCATTCTTGACTGCGTTCATATCTAATGTGATTTGGCTTGAGATTCATCTTCGTTTAATGTTAGCAGGGCCTGTTTTTACATATTTATTTAAATACTGAAAAATATGGGCTCAGTTTAAAAGGGGCACAAAGGGAGATTTCTGTAAAAGCTTTTCAGACAGTGGGCTGGGTATAGCTGGGCCCACAAAGTGTTCGGTCCTGGCACACTGCTCAGGGTCACAGGTAAATATTCTTTCATTCTTCCGTATAATGTAGGGAGGGGAGGCAGGGGATGCAGGGGCGGCAGGCTAGGTGCTGGTGCCGGCTCAGAATTCTAGGATTCAGTCCCAGTTTGGTCACAAATGGCAGCGGGATCCTTGGAGAGGTAAGTGACTGTGTCCCAGTCCTTGGGGGTAGTTGCCACCTGAGCTTGTATGGGCGACACTGACAAGAAGCTAACTTGCTGGAGCAACTGGGGGTCCTTGAAGGGTGGGGATGTTAGGTCCCTGTGAGATTTTTGTGCTGAAAGGTTTATTAAAAAACTTTATATTTTATTTATTTGATTCCAAAAATACCAGTGGAAAAGAAAGAACAAAAAATTACTTAACTTGTCCTTTTGTCACAAGGTGATTCATATCAGGTATGGACACGTTTAACTGTGCAAACATATTCAAGAAGGTCATAAGCTGAGTTTGTTTTTTCTAAATTCAGACTAGTAAATGCGTTCATTCTTCATTAGTCTTAGAGATGCAATTTTGCCTGGATGAGGGAGAACATCTCACGGGGAGGTTTCTAGCTTAGCAGATCTAATCAAATACAATTTCCCAAGAATTTTCACAATGCTGGTAAAACACTGGAAAAATAAAAGAAATTATATATTTTGCTTCCCTTAGTGGTTGTGATCACAGATACAAGTGAATTCATAAATTGTGAAGCAAGTTTCTGGTTCTCTTTTTTTCCAAGTGACTACATACCCCCATGTAAATTCTAGCAATCCAGTTAGATACTGATGACAGAGATATAATTCAGGAGGTTCTGAAAAATATGTTAAGAGACCGTGGTGCAGAGAAAAATGTGAACTTTGAATCTGAATCTATCATGTTGTGTATAATCATCCTTTAGCAAGTAATTTTTGATTCACTGGTTATTGCTTTCTTAAAATTATAAAAATAATACATGTGCATTATGGAAAAAAAACTGGAAAAGAGAAAGAATAAAGAAAAAGTTAAAAATGTATAGGGACACTACGGTTAATATTTGCTAAATTCCCACCTATTCATTCTGTCAGTGTAAGAACCATCTCAAGGACTAAATGTTACAAGGACTAAATGAAATTAAATATGGAAATGACCACCACAAGGGTTGGGACATGGTCAGCCATCAGAAATAACACTTCTTCAGAATTCAGAATTACCACCCACTGGAGTTCTTTATTAAAACAAGAGTACAGAAAAATGTATTAATTACCATGTAGTCTGCAGATCACTTTAGACCAAATGGTCAGATTTGCAGAATACTTTTAATTCTAAGACTCATTGTTACCAGTTTGTAAATGATTAGAATGTTCTAAGCATTCCCTCAAATATTGTTAGCCTGACTATGAGATGATTTCTCATTTTTCAGTAGAAATGCCTGGATGTAAAAAAAGTGGGATGGTCTTGCAACTTGAATATATAAACTTATTATGATATAGTTATAAGGTCAAATATTCATTGATAACGTTTTATATCTTTATTAGATTATACTTACAAATTAAAAACGATATCATTATGAATATCAGTTGAGAAATACTCCTTCTTTTGCCCTTATATTCATTAAAAATTTTGTTCAGACTCTTCACATGCATCTAAAATGTATACTTCAGAGCAAAAAAAAAGTACTCATGGGCAATCTGTAATTGTCACGAAAGGGTTTGGTCTGAGAACAAGTTGATCACAACAGGTAAGTTTTCTCAGTTGACACATTTCCTTTTCGGATGGTGAAAGGGTGTGGTCAGAGAGCCTGGGCTTTGGGCTCAGGCTGACCTGGAGCTCTGGCTCCACCACTTACTGTTTATGTGAACTTGGGTAATTAATTATTCTCTGGCCTCCGTTTCCTAATCCATAAGATGGGGTAACAGTATGTATTCAGAAAGAGTAGACCAGAATTAAATGAGACATTGTGAATAAAGTACTTGGCACGTTGTCTTACACAAAATGGGTGCTGGATGGAGGTTGCCCCATTTCGAACCTAAAGGGAGAATTGTATCCTCTATGGAGGGTGGTCTGTAGCCGATCCTACTGACAGAGCAGAAATTCTCCAGAGGAGTCAGCTGTACTTGTAACTGCTCCAATGGGAAGTTCCCTTGCTGTCCACGGATACACAAAAAACTTGAATTTAGAGGTATGTGCTTCTGTTTAATGGACTTTTCTTCCCTTACTTGGCAACAAAAATGAAATGAAAATGTGTTTTTTTTTAATCTTTGTAGTTCTAAGTACTTTAAACCTTAATCCCTGATCATAATTGATAGAAACTCTAACAGGAACAAATTTGGGCTTCATGCTTGTATTTAGTAGAAACACAATTACATGTCTAAAATATAGTTAGAATGTGGGGCGCCTGGGTGGCTCAGTTGGTTAAGCACCTGACTTCGGCTCAGGTCATGATCTTGCGGTTTGTGAGTTCCAGCCCCACGTCAGACTCTGTGCTGACAGCTCAGAGCCTGGAGCCTGTTCCAGATTCTGTGTCTCTGTCTCTCTCTGCCCCTCCCCCACTTGTGCTCTGTCTCTATCAAAAAAAATAAAAAATAAAAAAATATACAGTTAGAATGTACTTAGAAACATAGAGATATAGTTAGTACTTTTAAATATACTTAGAAATGTCATTAATTTGAAATTCATATTTATACATGAAATACTTATAATTTATTTATTTTTTTTTTAAATTTTTTTTTTCAACGTTTATTTATTTTTTGGGACAGAGAGAGACAGAGCATGAACGGGGGAGGGGCAGAGAGAGAGGGAGACACAGAATCGGAAACAGGCTCCAGGCTCTGAGCCATCCGCCCAGAGCCTGACACGGGGCTCGAACTCACGGACCGCGAGATCGTGACCTGGCTGAAGTCGGACACTTAACCGACTGCGCCACCCAGGCGCCCCTTATAATTTATTTTTAATAAAAGTAAAATGAGAATAAAATAGAGAAACTTTCAATCAATATCAATAGGCAACCTTGAAATGTCACACTTATAAATGTTGTGGTTGACATTTGATAAATTTATATAGAATTCATACAGTTTCATCATCATAAAATTATAAAACTCAGGCAATTAACCTCAAATTCTTTTTCTTATATAAGGGTATCAAAGAAGTTTATTTATTGTATAAACAGGTTTCTATTTTATGCATAATGAAAATGATTGTGGCCATAAAAAACACTGTTAATAAATTTTAAAAAGAATGTTGAAAGAAAAAAAAACATGTAAAATAATTACCCTAAAGACAAACACTAACCGTATACGATCAAGTACACTATTAATGCTCAGTTAACTATCACATTGAGAAAGTTATGAGAGTTCAAGATTCCTTCTATCTGGAAAAGAATGAAACTTCCAGAATCTAGCTGAGGAAAAGGGACAGGAGGTAAACATCATGTCTCACCATCAAGAAATTTTCTTTACTGTGATGAACCAGAAGTATTTCTATAAGAAAACCAAATTTCCTAACATGAAAACTAGATCTTTAATGTATTAAATGGTGGCTAAAATGAAGTAAACGTCATGTAAAATTTTAAAATTAAACTTTTTTTCACATCATATGCTTTTTAAAATAAAAACAAAGTATATGGTTGGAGAAGTATGCAGAGCTTTACTATTATAACCAATGAAATACTATTTCTTACTACAAGCAAGATGTACAAAATTAAAACAACCACACTATGAGCTAATTTTATTTACTGCATGAGTAAAATCTCATCATTGCTTGCTTACTGATTTAGTATAGAACTCAGGAACTTTGTGGCACAGAAATTCTCAAGATTTTTTTTTTCTTTTCTTCTCAAAGAAGAAATCCAGAAATCCAATTACGCTTAAGAAAATGCCCATACAATTATTATTCCAAATCCAAAATAGCCCAAAAAGAAAATGAGTAAATAATTAGTGTTTCAGTTGGAAATCAAATTGGAAAGGGTTCTACTATTTATAATTTCAATCACTACATTAACATTAAATGTATAATTAGGTAACATTCCAGCATTCAAGTGACAGGCCCTTGAAACCCATGATGTTTTTTTTTTATATGTTTTGACATTATGTCTACAAGAAACTCTGGAACCATAACTATCAACATTACAGCAGTTACATATAACATTATTGAGCAGGTAAAAACAAAGAAACTTGTAGGTACGACAAGTTCAGCAGGCTTGTAGGGCAGATCCAAATTTGGGGGGAGATGCTAAGCATTGAAGTATGGTGTCTTTTTAGTCATGTGTCAACTTCTAATGAAATTCCAATATAAAGTGTGCTTTCCGTGAATATTTCCTAAAGCAAAACAAAATTGTGACCAGTGCATTATTTGATAAGGTTAATATAAGAGAATTTCTGAGAATAATCAGTAAGTTTTTTTTATATAGAAGTTTTGGAAATATTGCCACATTGCTTCTAAATTCAAGGCATTGTAAATAATTTGGCGGTGCAGCTTTAAACATTGTCCTGCTCAAAATCCTGGTGTGGCTCAGATGTGAGAGCAAAATGTTCTAAAATTCAGAAATCAAGAAGAACTCCAGTGTCAGAGGTGGGCATGGGATTCTTATTTGAAGCTAAAAGCTCAACTTAATAGATTGTCAAGTATGCCTGGAAATAATTCACACCCAAACAAGTGACTCTGTATTGTTTAACAAAATTCCATGTTTTAGAACTTTTTTTTTGTAATTTTATTTTTTTATTGAGAGAGAGAGAGAGAGAGAGAGAGCGAGCAGGCTCCACACTGTCAGCACAGAACTCGATGCGGGGCTTGAACTCACAAACCATGAGATCATGACCTGAGCCAAAATCAAGAGCTAAACACATAAAGGACTGAGCCACCCAGGTGCTCCACAAAATTACGTGTTTTAATCTGGACTCTGCCACTTAATAGCTGTGACGTTGGCAAGTTTCATAACTGCTTGAACCCCTTTTCCCATGGAAACTAAGAAAACAAGCATTTCATAACCCCAGTGTGGACAAAAGGCCCTGGTAAGCACTAACACCATGGCAACTTTTCCTTCCTTTTTTTTTTTTTTTTGTGTTAGGTGGTTCCAAACCATACAATGTTTGTGTTTCTCTCATAATAGTTCTAACTGCCATTCCAATTTCTCCCACAGCTAAAAGCCCTGATGAAGACACTTCCCCCAAGCCCACGATTTTTCTTCCTTCAATTGCTGAAAGAAAACTCCACAAGGCTGGAACGTATCTTTGTCTTCTTGAGGATTTTTTCCCTGATGTTATCAATATAGATTGGAAAGAGAAAAATGGCAGAGTAATATTGAAATCCCAGCAGGGAGACACCATGAAGACTAAGGACACATACATGAAATACACCTGGCTGACCGTGAGAGAAGACTCAATGGGTAAAGAACACAAATGTATCGTCAAACACCAGAAGAATAAAGGAGGGGTTGATCAAGAGATTCTTTTTCCTTCAATAAACACAGGTATGTGCATGTACACATGAATATAACCTCCCAGAACCCTATTTTTCCCCGATGGAATACACCACCTTTTCTGTCAAGAATTGATGGAAAAGAAGCAAATAGAAATCTTTCCTTAATGTTGTTGCCTTTAATGGTACCATAACTGTCCTGCTATTTCCCCATAGAATTAAAATAGTATGGGCTTTGGAACATACAAAGAAACAGAAAAAGAAAAATTCACTTAGCCTTTCTCGCCTCAGTTTCATCATCCAAAACATGGAGGTCATTATGATGTTTCTGAGGGTCACCGTATGGGTGAAATGAAACAGTACACGTGAAAGCACCTAGCAGCCTTGTATCCAATAAATGCTCAAAAAGAGAATCCACTTTTGATGATTTTACTTGATCAGGAAATAAAAACAATTGCCCATCCTTCAGGAATATTCTACTCAGCAGTCAAAGTCCCTCTCACTTCAATCTTGCTCTGCTCAAACATAAGCCATAACAAATGAGTTCTAGGCAACCAAATTGTTGTTCATTTGAGGGAGGCAGATCACAGCTCAACAAAAAGTGGTACTTTGGTCACTGACGTTTTAGTACAGTTTTGGTGTTTTCACATTGACTTTTCTCTACCACTGTAAGGTGAAATTTGGTAAGTGAAGACTGAGTGAAGCTTACACGTGCACACGTGCTTCCATTGTACACAATGAACATTTCTTACCGTTAGTAAATGCTGCCCAGCAAACACTTCCTGCCGTCCGAGCGTGCGCCAGGCCTGGAGGGGATGCAGGAGGGACCACTGTCCCCAGGAGCATCACTACAGTAGGGCAAATATCCTTTTCCTCTCGCTCCTGTCACCCGTGATTCAGGCACAGTGTCCCAAAGGAGCCCATTGGTGTAGACGCTGCACGTATTTAGACAGTGTGGGCAGAGCTGAATGTGCTCTGGCCCCACTGTGTCCCAGTAACTCTCTAGACTCAGAAGTCAAGTCCTGAGCATGGACACGCCGGACCAGGGCCCCAGAGGGCCCCTAAGAAGGAACCAGTTCATACTCTTCCCGGGGGTTATCAAGCCCCTCGCAAGCAGTGGGGAACAAGCACATAACAGGACATGTGAAGAGCTTTCTGTATACAAGTCTCAATTTCTGACATCAGTCTTCATCTTTTTGGGTCTGGTAAGAAGAAAACCATAGACCCACAGTGGCAACACGTAGCTTAAAGCCTCAAGTCACTCAAGCAAGATTTAATACCTAGCCCAAGTGCAATTTCAACCCCCAGAACAGTAACCTATAACCAGTTGACATGGGAATTTCCTGGTCAACACTATTAAGTTCATGGATTGACTCCTTCTGTCCCCCTTTTCTGAACTCCCCTTCTATTGTTAGAAACCTTTCCTTCTCTATAACCCTTTGGAGGTCCCCTCTACTTGCTAGGTGGGATGTTGCCAGACTCATAATTCACTTGATTAAAACAGCCATTAGATCTTTAATATTTACTTGGTTGAATGTTTGTTATTTAGCAGATTTGGTGACGGGATCCAAAGTGGGCTTCCAGAAGGAATCAGAGACAAGTAGAAACACAAGGCCGGTAACCGTGAGCCCTTCGAGTACACTGTCTGCATCACCATTTTCAAGTGCCGCGGGTGAGTTCCTGATCGCACTGGGCTTCCTTTCCGGGGCAGGTCACCTTGGGCTGGCACATTTGTCTGGAGCCCAACTAAAGTGGCAGAAGGATCTGCCAGGAGCTAAGCCCCTAACCCATCAGACCACAGCTCCCCAGGTGGAAACCTCAGTGAGCCTCCAGGAGAATTGTTGGTGCCACACCCAGAGCATCATTCTGGCCAGAACGCAGTATCATCCCTTGCTTACAGCCCACACCCTAAGGTGCACATAATTGTTTGTCTGGTTTTGTGTAGATAAAGGCTACTGCTCACAAGGATCTCAGATGCAGAAAAACCCACAAAATTGGCGGGCATGAGTCAGGCACTTAAAGACTGTTAGAATGCTCATCATCCCAAGAACACTCCCTTGATAGTGTAACTTGGTCAAGGAAAGGGCTCAGTTGGCACTAAGTAACTCACCAAACTGAGAAAACGTCCCTGCAAGGAGCTACACTCTCAATCATGCACTGTCCCCATCTGAAGACACATCCATTTTATGTATTAGTTCGGGTCCGAGAAGCCCCCAGTCTGAGCTTATGGGATCCTTAATTCTAAAGAATCAAGTACACCACCCTCCATTACACCTGCTTATTTTACGTCTAAGAACCATAGTCCCAGAAGTGACAGATACCTATCAAACATGGCAAAATCTTAGGAAGCTTGCTTTGTGTCCTGAGAAACTGGCTTTGTAACTGGGTTTGGTGACCCCCAAAGGAGACCAAACAGAAATATGGCTACACCTCATTTGCGGCTACATATGGCTAAACAAAAGGGTGTGTTCACTTAATTTGAGGCTAGGATCCCACAGATCTGCTTCCAGCCCCCAGAGCAATTACGACCTAGAAATACAATAGACATCATGGGGAACTTTCCAACTAGATAAGATTATTTAAGAAGTGTGTTTAAAAGCCAGTGTTCTCAAATTAAGGAGGACACTTCCATTAATTAATAAGCAGAAGCCTCCAGAAGGTTTAAATTCCAAGGTAGTTTCCTTGAAACATTCATTGCAAAAGCCTAGTGAAAATTAAAGATGGAACAGGTAGCTATAACAACAAAACTGTAAGACTCACGTAACTCCCCCCCCCCCACTTCCTTTCTTGCTCTTTGGGCCCTCACTCCAGTGTGAAATGTTTCTCGCTGTGAAAAGACCCCACAGCTATAAACAGAAGTCAGCCAAGTCAACGGCCTTACAGACACCCCCGTATGTACCTTCATAGGAAGAACTCCACATGAGCCCCACCCAGAGTTGATGAAACTGAGGGTTCTTCTGGAAACTGCTACATTATTTCCTTAAACAGTTAAGTGATTTCTGGTAAATACTGTGGCCAACAGAAGGGGTCCTGCAAAAACTGGCAGAAGCCATCCAAGGGTGGAGACTCGAAGGAGAATCCACTTCTTCTAAATCTCTGCCCACAATGCCTGGTCCGGAGAGGATAACAAAATTTCCTGTTGTCCCACCCTTTCCAAATCCACACCCATTGCTTATGGATCCTTCCTCTCCCAGAGACAGCCGTTGCCTCCTTGCTGGCGTCATCCTGAATCACTGCTCTTAGCTCTCTGCCTGCCTGGGACGTGTGGCTTATGGGTTTCTTCCTTTGGCTGTGACTGTGGGTGACCCTGGATCTGGGGAGGGCAATATTCTCTGCACCCTCTCTGGGGACCCATCTTACACCCAAGGGGGTTATTCCATATGCCAGAAATACTTAAAATGTAAAGTATGCACTCAGAGGGAAGGAAGCCAATTGAGGCACATACTTGGATCAAACTTTGATGTCATTTCACGTAAATCCAAGTATTTGAGACACTGAGACCAGCTGGACTGACAAATGCGAACAGAACCAGAAATGCAGCTCTTGGGTCAATCCAGAGTGCCCCTGTTCCTTCACCCACCCCCACACTTCTCGTAGTTCTGGAAAAGGGCTTATAGACGGTTGGCTTTTGGAAAAGAAAGTCTTTCTTGGAAGAACTTGCATTCTTTCTTCACCCTTAAAGTGATCAATCTTATCACACTTTTGACATGTAAACACAGGCCACAAGCGCCCAGGACTGAGAGAAACAAAGGAAAAGAGACCTTTTTAAAATACAAACTGCTAAAGGCCTCCTGTGCCTAAACCCTGGCTCGGTGTCCTTCATAATCCCGGGGACACATATAAATCTTAACACTTTGTCCATAAATGTCTCCATAAACATCAGTGACTCAAGGGTCTTTGCAGCGATCTGTGTCCCCACAAATACACATCGTCAATGTGAGATATTTTTCTCTCTGGAGACATTGTCAAAATTAGTTTGCAAAGAGCTCCATTTCCTTGGTTTGAAGGCAAGCACTTGCAAGGATTGGGCATTCTAAACCTCTCAGAATGATAGAAACTAACCAATGTGTGTTTCAACTTCACATGATCTGGGAAATTATTTGGTTGTTGTTTTAAATAAAATAGACATATTTTTTAGAGTTATTAGCACTAAAATTAAAACTTTCACATGCATGGATTTACTAAAAGTCAAATAAGTAGATGTGGTCTCTTTAAAAAAAAATTTTTTTTTTCAACGTTTATTTATTTTTGGGACAGAGAGAGACAGAGCATGAACGGGGGAGGGGCAGAGAGAGAGGGAGACACAGAATCGGAAACAGGCTCCAGGCTCTGAGCCATCAGCCCAGAGCCTGACGCAGGGCTCGAACTCCCGGACCGCGAGATCGTGACCTGGCTGAAGTCGGACGCTTAACCGACTGCGCCACCCAGGCGCCCCGATGTGGTCTCTTTAAAATCTTAAAGAAAATAGCTTGGGATAATGATGGATTTTGATATTTCCTGACATTTTTCTTTTTGAGTTTTAATTTTAATTCCAGTGTAGTTAACAGGCAGGGTTCTATTAGTTTCAGATGTACAATCTAGTGATTCAGCACCTCATACATCACCCTGTGCTCATCGGGACGAGGGCACTCCTTATTCCCATCACCTATTTAACCCATCCCTCCCCACGTCTCATAAAATTTTTATGGGTAATTACAGCTCAACTTCATGAACAAGTAAATTGAAAGATGTAAATAAAATAACTCTTTTAAGATAATGTTTTAAATAGTCTCCCAAATCTTTTTGGTGACCTAAATCCTTAAAATTCTGCTGAGTTAAGTATTAAATTAGATTATATTCATTAAATATCTAGATCATTTCCAAGTAAAATAAAACACTCACTTGTTAGTTAATGAACATAGGTTTACCTACTTTTGGTTTTGGTATTGCAGAGAAACTGAAGATAACTTGGGCTTATTCAGAAATGTATTTTGTGACTTACTGAAAGATTGTTTTATGATGATGCACATGTTTCTAGACTTTTTGAAATGTATCCATAAATTTACCAATCTAAGAAATGCTGGTATAACAGATCACAACTGCTGGCTTATTTTATTTAAAAAGATTTAAATATTTATTTATTTTTTAGAGACAGACAGAGTGCAAGCAGGGGAGGGGCAGAGAGTGAGGGAGACACAGAATCTGAAGCAGGCTCCAGGCTCCGAGGTTTGAGATGTCAGCACAGAGCCTGACGCTGGGCTCAAACCCATGAAGCACAGGGTCATGACCTGGGAGGAAGTCAGACGCTTAACCGACTGAGCCACCCGGGCTCCCCAACAATTGCTTGCTTATTAACTTTCATTAAAAATGAAGTTTCTAAAAGAACAGAATTTTAATAAATGTAATTCAGACTACTGGAAATAATAAGGGAAATAACCTGGAGTGCAAGGAAAATAAGATGTGTCTTTTTAATAAGAAAAAGTATGAGAAATGGAAATATGTTTTTGAGGGAGGGAAAAAAAGATTTTTTTCCTAGGCAAGCCTGGTTATCTGAAGAGGCAAACTCAAGAAAAAGCCTGAATGTAAAAGAGAAGTTGTAAAAGGGGATGTTTGGAAAGGAATGTTATGCGTGGTCAGGATCGATTAAGACTGGAAGGAAGAATTTTTTAGGGCGCCTGGATGGCTCAGTCGGTTAACTGTCCGATTCCTGATTTGGGCTCAGGCCATGGTCTCAAGGTTCCTGAGATTGAGCCCCTCCCCGGCTCTGCGCTGACAGTGTAGAGCCTGCTTGGGATTCTCCCACTCCCTCTTTCTCTGACCTTCCCTCACTTGTGGTCTCTCTCTCTCTCTCTCTCAAAAATAAACAAAGATTTAAGAAACATCACCCTTCATACTTTCATCAAACGTGAAACCCTTTCTTCCTCTTCTCTTTTCCTTTGCTCTGGCGATGGCCCTCATTTGTTTCTCCCAGGTAATTGCTAGCAAGGGTAAACTCTGAACTTTAGAGGAAACTTCTATTCCAGACTAGCAGTAAAGGTAACTGGTCTTAGCTTTACTCAAGCTAAAGAAGACCTCTCATTGGTTGACTTCCCTCAGTTTACATCCTGACTTAGAAGGGACTTCCCAGGAAGCTTCCATGATCCAGGATTCCCTCCTTTGGAGGGGCCCTACTTCCCTGGTTAAGGATAAATTGTAAATGAGGTATGTTCAGGACCTTCTCCTTCATGCTTTAATTTGTTGCATAACCTCTTACTAAAGTAATGGCTGCCCAACAAAAATCCTTAGACTCTGGCGCAAAAGTACTTCCTGAAAATAAGATAGACCTTGGTTATCTCTTAGCTGAGCAAGGCTGGGTCTCTCCTCTAACCAAGACCACCTGCTATACCCCAATTAACAGGTCTGGGGAAGTTAAAACTCAACAATATCAGGTCACTGAGCAAGCCTCTTGGCTTCAAAGAGTTACTTGATTTTCATTGCTTTGAGTCTTGGGAACTATCCCTTCAAACTACTCCAAACATGAGAAATTATCCTGTATTTTGTAATTACGATAAGCTGCCTGGTGGTTCTCTCAAAAGCTTTAAATGCAAGTTCAGAGCCGGTTACCTGCAAACTAATGATGTCTCTAAGATTGGAATGTCAAAAGAAAAGAAATCAAGAGAACAGAATGACCAACTCAAACACTGTAGAGTTGAAGCGGTAACCTCTGAACATTCACAGGCCAAAAGGTCAAGACCTGTGAATATCAGAAGAGCAAACACACAAACTGTGAAAACTTCAGAGAGGTTGCTGAGTGCTGTTAATGCCTTCAAGTGTGTCTCTCTAAGTTAAACCGGGAGTCTGAGCAAAAGGCAGGGCTGTTAAAAAGAAAACCACAGGCTCAAAATGGCTTCACTCAGCTTAAGACCCCAAACCAGTAAACCAAGACTTCATCCCTGCCTGGCTGCAGTTTCAACCCCCAGAACTGTAGCCTTGAATCAGCAAACATGGGCATTTCCTGGTCCGCACTAGGGAGTTTCCTGATCGACCCTCTCCATTCCCCTTATGAGAGTGACCTTGCAATAATAATGTTCTTTGCTAATAACCTTTTTCATTCCCTATCTTTAAAAATCTCCCCATTTCTGTGCCTCTTTGGAGCCCCTCTCTACTTGCCAGATGAGATATTGCCCGATTCGTGAATAGATCAATCAGATCTTTAAAATTTACTCGAATGAATTTTTGTGATTTCACAGATTATTAGTGTGTCCAATGATCAAATTAGGGCCACACATTACCTTCGCTTTCAGCTGGACTATGATGAGAGCACATGAAATTATGTCACTAACAACGCTTGATCTTGAAAGCATAACATGGATTAATTTTTTTTTACTTTTTGTTTTTTATTAAACATTTTTAGGTATATTTATTTATTTTGATGGGGCGGAGAGTGCAGAGAGAGAGGGGGACAGATGATCAGAAGCAGGCTCCATGCTGACAGCAGAGAGCCCGACGCGGGGCTCGAATCCACCAACCATGAGGTCTTGACCTGAGCCAAAGTCAGACACTTAACCGACTGAGCCACCCAGGTGCCCCACGGATGAATTTTTTCATATACTTATTGTATTTATTTATGTCCTTCCTTATAACTAACTAAAACAAGATCACACAGGCAGCCCTAATTTTTTAGCTCTGTAGCTAAGAAACAGAAAAGAAGCAAATGAGCACAGCATAAATTTAATGTGACCATTGGGCTGAAGTATCCTCTTCAGTTTTGATTTCTCTAGTGATTGGAGAAAAGTAAAAGGTATAGTAAGTTCCATGGTGATGTGTATGATGAGGGAGAAGTTCCTGTTTTATGATGTGTCTTACTTGGCACCTATTTCTGAAATGAATGTTTCCCAGCGTCTTCTCATGACCACAAAGCTAATGGGGCATTTCTGTTAATGTAATTCTGCAGCAGATTTCTAGTGCTGTTTCTTGGAAGTTTTTGGTTTGTTGTTGTTGTTTTTGGAAAAAGCTTGTGTGTGTGTGTGTGTGTGTGTGTGTTTATGATACATATACATGAAAGAACAAAACAATGGAGTGATTCCAAAGGCAGATAAAACTCATCTTGTCCATGTTTTTAACCAACCACAATTAAGAAAGAGCACCTAGGACACACACAAATTTTATTATGAAAATTGTTACCCACATGACTTTATGTTGATCAATGCATGATGATAAGAGATTTTTATTGATCTTTTTTAAAGTTTTTATTTTAATTGCAGTTAGTTGATACACTTACAGGCTATATTAGTTTCAATATAAAGTCACTGTATGGGAAAGAAAGAGATCTTTAAGAACTTTAAAGTCAGCTCTTGAAGATCTTTTAACATTTAACAGGTTTATACTAACATGTTCCTTCTTGGGATTTACCCAAAAACCTATGCCCTAAACCCATTTTTTAAATAGTGCACCAAAATAAGATTACGCTCACCAGAACAGAAAAAGAATCAACCAAAATTATCTTTCACCTCTCTCTTTCTGCATGCAATTGTCAATGATCTTTTTAAGGAATTTTGTCTTTGTATGTATGTCGTGCTCTTTTTTTTTAAAACACTATAGAGAAATACAACTGTCACCTCACGTTTTATATATTCAGATGGCTATCAATGTGACTTGACCTGTCATTCTATCTTTGCACTGAGGTGCTGAGCTTTTCAGATATCTGGAAGGGATGATGTCTAAGAGTCCACAATGGTGCAGTTATGTTCTATTTCTATGGACTGTTTTACAAGGCACTTCCCACATGCTGTAACTCATCTAACCCCCCACAACCATCCCTGAGTGCTGGCTCTGCCCATCACTGGCACAACTCTCCATAAGTTATTTAAACCCTCTAAACCTTATTTCCTTGTGTGTAACATGGAGTCCTCCAAATTCAGTTCACATCACTGGCACTGGGGGATCAGATGAGATAATGCACATGAACCTTTGGCATAAGTGTCTGGCACAGTAATAATCACTCAATAGGAACTGGTTTTCATCAGGATTATTGACATGTCCACAAGCACAACCACTCCACAAAATGATATGCGGGAGTTGGGCATTGTGGGGCGTGCATGACTTGAAAGGTAGGACTGATTTCTTTGCTTGATGGAAAATTTACCTAGAACAGACTCCTTCCAACATGTAAGATTCTGCTGTGGATCCTAGGGTCGGACGCATTTATTTTGGTAGCAACCCTTCAGGTCAGCAGTGGGTGCCGAGGACTGTACGACAGCCACTGCTTCTGGTTATTTCTCCATCCAACAAGTATTTATAGAGCACCTGCATCACAGCAGACTCTGTGCTAAGAGCTATGAGCACAGAAGGAAAACAAGACAGTCTCAAACATTACCTGCTAGTTGTGAGAAAAAACCATTCATCATTCAAGAACTTCAACATCTCCATGTGCAGAAATACAATGTATGAATTGATCTACTGAACTACGTAGAATCAGACCAACCCTTTCTGTAATTGTGGGCTCATATTTATAATAACTCTTTCTTCTCTGATGACAAATTCTATCTGTCATCTATGTATGTATGTATGCATGTACCTATCCATCCATCCATCCACAACACAGCCACGTGCCAATTAATGGATATGAACAATCAAATAATATTTGCTATTATTTCTTGCAGAGCTCACTGCTGTTAACTCTACAGAATCTTCTTTGAAAGACAAAAATGGTAAGTTTGTCTATATGCTTGCCTTTATGTTATGCTATAGCATTTTTTCCCTCACAATCAGGTTAACTTTTTTTTTTTTAACGTTTATTTATTTTTGAGACAGAGAGAGACAGAGCATGAACGGGGGAGAGGCAGAGAGAGAGGGAGACACAGAATCGGAAGCAGGCTCCAGGCTCTGAGCCATCAGCCCAGAGCCCGACACGGGGCTCGAACTCACGGACCGTGAGATCATGACCTGAGCTGAAGTCGGACGCTTAACCGACTGAGCCACCCAGGCGCCCCTCAGGTTAACTTTTAAACTTCCCAGACTTCAGATAGAAACCTCACAATGGTTGGATCTTCCAAAATAGACTGAGTGATAATTTAAGTCAATCCATCATTTCCTGGGGATCATCTTCACACAGTAAATGCAGGTTTGGGAATGAAAGGACCATAAAGTAGGGGTGCAGCAAGGGCCTCTGAAGTCTTTCAGCAATGGACTTCATTCACTTCTGTGGCCTTTGTTTCTACTGACTATGGAAAACATGATATCGAGTTGCTTCTGGAGTTTTTTTTAAGCCTTTGTTCTTGCTCATAGTTAATGAATGAACTGACGCTGAGAGGTTCCCATTCAGAAGGCATTGCGTGCACTGTGAGTGCCTTTTGTTTAATTCTTAATACTCACCATGGAAGATTTTATTCCCATTTTACGCCTGAGGGCAATGAGCTAAAATTAACGAAATCTCTTGCACCATGCCACACAATGAGATCTGGAGCTGCAACCCAGAACAACTGAATCCAGAGTTCATATACTAACTCAATTTTTATTCTCCCTCTAAGTCCAAAGCCAAGGCCTTGAGACAGGCTGCACCCTTTGGAGATGCCACAGACTGGATTTTCACCCCAATTGTTTCGTTATTAGTTGCATGAATATGGGCACATTACTTACATTTGCTGAGCCAGCCAGGAATAACACAAATAACGCCTGAGTTAGCAAAGCCATAGGAGCACATATGTGGAATGTCTAGCATTGGGTATCTCATTTAACGGACACATTGTAAGTACTGGTTTCTAGCCCTTTATTCCAACATATGTGGGAAAGTAAGAAAATGACATGGAGCGTTGGCTATAGTCTTGCTGATCTGCCCTCCGAGTCCAATATCAAGGGGCCTCTGGACCTTATATAACATATTACCTGACCAAGGGCAAGGAGTTTTGATCGCATCACCCCTTGAGGTCCCTTTCACACCAAGTGCTAATAATTTTGGGGTTCTGACTTTGTGGAGATAAAGCCTTGGCCTTGTGGTTCATTGAGTAGCCAGCCTGGTCCATCATTATTGTCATTAATTATTTCTGACATCATGTATTTCCTGTTACACTTCGAAGGATATGAAATACTATAGTCCTATAACATAATAGCTAGAATGATAGATACTCAGGGAGAAAAGGGAATGAGTTTGATCTCCTAAAGTTGCAGAGAAATTGAATTAATCCCTTACTTCCATTTTATGTAATGCCCTCTTACCACAAACCTCTCACCCACCCCGCCATGAACACCACCAAATTTCCATGATTTGTACCATTGCTAGGAATCTCACTGAATGAATGCACAACATGTAATGGCTGAGATCCTTCAAAATAAACAATTCAGCTTTATATCTGTACTTAATCATTTGATATCTTGGATGGGTATTACGTGAAGTGATGCAGAATTACACAGTAGCTGAGGATATGTGCTTGAACATCATGTTCCTGGATTTGATATTTGGCTCCTGGTACTAATGATAGAACACTAGGCAATTACTTCTATATCCTCAATTTATTTTTAAAATGGGAATGAAAATAATAATCTCAGAGGTTATTGACAATTAAATAAGATTAAAGTTTTGCATGCGAAGCTCTCAAGTAAGTGGCGGTGAGTTTGTGGTCAATGGACATTGGCAATTATTCTTACTTCGAGACATAGTCGAGGTGAGGAAGTGCTAAGAGCTCTTTATCACCAATGATCTTTTCCATTGGATTCGCTCATTAAAAATGTGACTCTTCCTTTGAATATGTGGGAATGTTCTAAGTCAACATCTCAGAGGTTGGTGATTGAGTTGACCTGCAAGCTGGATTCTGAATTGTCCTGGTGGTGGTGGTAGTGCTGAGGGGGGTGTAGATGTTTAATGTCGGGTTGTGGTGGTGTTGGGTGGTCACTTCAACCCAGGTCATCTGAAATGTATGCTGTCAACCCCTCTCTCATGTAAGTCCTCGCCTTTCAAAAACACAGGTGAAACTAACCGATGGCTTCCTTTAGACCCCCTGCAGCTGCAGCTGGTGAACACCTCTGCCTACTGCACCTACCTCCTCCTCCTCGTCAAGAGCATGGTCTACACCGTCATCACGGCCATCTGTCTGCTTGGGAGAGCGGCACTCTGTGACAATGGGAAGAGTTCCTGACCCGTGGTGGCACAGGGTCCATGTTTCTCCATTGACTGTTGTCACTAAAAGTGTCTGCTGTGGGTCTAGCGGGGCTTTCTTTCTGGGTGGTTCATTTCAGTTCACACGTTGTCTTTTTCTATGTGTCATCATTGCAGAATGGGTTTGCAAACTCCTGGGCAAACAGGAAATGTTACTCTGCACCAAGAACAGACTCTGCCATGAGTCAGGGGCGGGGCCGGGGGGCACCCACGGGGGCTTCAGCACCGCTCTCTCCTTCTTGCCCACCAGCTGGTCAGCCGCCCAGCACCCTCGCCTCTGAGTACACTTGGCGTGCAGCTTCCATAGTGTCCCCTGGGGCTCTGTATGCAGATAACTGCCTGGAGGCCTTTTGTTTTACATTTTTGGAAGCTGCCATCTTTGCTACCTGAGTTTTGTTCTGTTGTTCATAACAGGCATAATAAAAATAATCAAAAGTGTACTTTTATCTCTGTGTTCTTTCATTTGGTGAAATCTGAGAGGCTAAGGTAAGGAACAGCATGACAACTGAGCCTTCAAATTCAGCATTGGTTGTTATCATGGCCAATTCCACATTTCTAACTCTTTCCCTGAGAGAGTCCTTGTGATGCCTTCTTTGGGGCTCTAGCCCCGGGCGAGCCACTGTCAGTGAAGGGCTCAGGTTATTCCTTAGCAGATTCAGACTCATTTGGTTTAAGACACTCTGGTGGCCACAGTATCACATGTCACGTGACAGGTGGGTATGTCAGACCTAGACCAGTGTCTCACATACGCCATGTTTCCTGATGTCATAGGAACCCCAGGACAGCTGCACTAACACAGGAAAAGTAGGGTGGTGGAGAGGTTAAGTGCTTGGACTCTGAACCTCAAGTGCTCGGATATAAATTTTGGGTCTATAGCTATTTGAACACTCCGTGCTGTAATGTTGTCATTTGTAAAATGGACTTACACTGACACGTTTCCTGGAGTTGTGTGGATGTGATGAGTTTTTATTTGGGAAGTTCAACAGCATCTACTGCAGGCAGCTCTACTTTAGAAATAATAGAGAACACACGCACGTACACACACACACACACACACACACACTAAGTATGACACTCATTTATATATGTGTGTGTATTTCTACAAGCATGGATGTACAACAAAATGTTCAATGTGGTGGGTGGGTAAAAAAATAAATGTTTTTCTATTTTCGGTAATGAATGCACCTAAAGTAAAAACTTGTATATGTTAGAATGAAAACAATGCCTCATTTAAAATTGGAAAGGATTTTTTTTTTGTTTATTTACAATTAGTTTCAGTTTCTGTGAAACAGCTGCTTTTGGAATCCAAATACAGGTTCCCAAGGGGAAATAACACGAGACCCATCAGATATAAGGAAGAGGAAATTTAATTTTCTACTCCTTGATTCTCGGGTTTTGATCAGACCTCTTTAGGACAAATACCCGGGCCTCTACCTAGAAATCTGGAACTGATCTGGAACTGTTTCTGCATATGGAAAGCACAGAGGCAAAGGGGAAACTAGCAAATGACCCAGAGCCTTGTGGGCTGATTTCAGTGCCGGGCACTCCTAGCCAGTGCCCCCTGTGGCTTCCAATCCTCAGCCCCTACCTTCCCCAACCCGACCTGGGCAGCCCTGCGGGCTCTGCTCTGCACTGGCAGGTGCAGAGAGGGGGAGGGCGGTGGTGCAGGGGACAGTGTGGGGGGCAGGAGGGCGCTGGTGTTTTGTTTTCTCAGGGTTTTTCTGGTCTATGTGCTCTGTCAAATGTGGTTGATTCGTGGAAAAGGCTTGAAGTCAAACCGGCCCCTACTGGTTGGGGCTGTGCAAGCGGTGGCTGGGGTGCTGCATGATAAAATAGGGGCAGTTACACCACAGCCAACTTTGCTCACTTCCAAAAGGTCACAGCTAATGAAAGAAAAATCCATCTGCACACACGCATACATACGATTGCTGCCAAACATACTCTTATCCTGTGGGTGAGTGCCAGAGTCCTGCTCCAGCAGGTCCAGGGGTTCCCGAAGGAAGAACGGCGTTGGTGAAAATAAAACAAAACTAAAATAAAAAACTAAAACTAAAATAAAAATGGACACAGACAACAGCAGTGTGTTGAACTGGCCGATTTATTGCAGTAAATGTGGCGTTCTATATGCTAGCCATTTCCTTGTAGCATACGTCATCTATGTTTTTCTAACATCACGTAATTTTGAAAATGTTCCTATGTGTAAACAACCTTTAAGAAATAACATGGCGATTTTCCCCTAACTTTCCTGCACACCCTTGGATTATTGATTAATTTCTTGCATTATTCCATTATGCATCTGCGTTTATCTATAATCTACAAAGCATTCACTTTGCTGTTCTCGTGAAAGGCCCTCCATTTCTCAACACCTCAAGTGGAACAGTTACAGGGACATGACCTCCTAACCACATGAGGCCAGAAGAACAATGTGTTTGCCTCGGTCCAAGGTGCCAGGAGGGGCCGAAAAAGCCTTAGAAACCCAGGCCCCATACATTCTCAGAGAGACAATGCACCTAGGAGCCAATGAACCATTCTGTACCTCAACCCACTAGGTTCAGTCATCATCTGGAATGCCTCCGGGGGGCCAGGTGGGCCTAGGGGTTGAAGTCAACTGTGCCCAGAGATACACTCCTTAGTTGCCGGAGTGAGGCTTTCAAATCCATATGTCTCTCCTTTACAGGCCCTCTTTGCTGGCAAATGTATGAGGCTATCCTTCCTGTAAGTAGAGGAGTCTCCATAGGGGATGGCAAGGGCTAAATGTAAGGCCTCACAATTTCTTGAGGAACCTTATTTTCTTCCCTAATGGTTCTTTTCCCAGGAGGCCTGCCGAGGGCAATTCCACAACAGACAATACCCCAGGTAGTTTTAAGGCCAAATTACCTAAAGCGGGAGTCCACAGCTGGGGCCCTGCCACTCAGGCTGGGATAGCTTGGCTTCCAGCAGAGTCTGAAGACATTTCACCTGCTTAGAGTCATGTAAGTCAGTAAAGGAGCTTTGACTCAAACCCAAGTCTAACAGAGTCCAAAACCCATCACAGCATCCACTGCATATAAGTAGAATTCCATGTGTACATATAGTTTCTTTTAAGCTCTAAAAAGTAAACAGCCATAAAGGAAATTCCAAAGAAGTTGCAGAACTCAAGAATTTCTCTCACATGCCAATAAGCAAACAGCATGAGCTGTTCTTGAAGAGCAGTCATTTGGGTGACAGTGCTGGACTCCTGAACGT